TTCAAAGGCCCAGCCGGTGGGATCAGGGATCGCTTGTCCGATCGACAAGCAGTGGTCAAAACTTCACACCTCTCAACTGCTATCCTGTCTGATAATGACATGCGTTAGTCTTACTTATCCAATTACCACCAGTGCTTGCCTTTCATAGGACCACTGTTTGACCAATTAAAAACAGAAACGTTTGAACATCTCCTTTGCTTCCACCCTTAGCCCCACCCACCAGTGCCACCCCTCACTGTCATCATTGTAACAACGATTCGAGGAACTCTTTTCTCGGCTGGCCATACGATCAGGGCGGCAGGCATTGGTCAATCTAATATCACACCTTTGGCTTCTGGCTATCCAGGAAAGTTTCCGAAGTGGCTCGCTACTCGAGCACTCTCACGGGCAGTCGTGAGATTTCACACCCACACTACACTGACCATTTGCATCGCTCAGGGCTCACATGATGGGTAACATCAACCCCCAAATTGCACCCCTACTCCCCTTCCTTGCCCAGCGGCATGGCCATTGCGTTAAGTTTAGAGCCAACGGAACCAAACTTGCGAGTTTTGCCTCAAATCAGGGCTGGGCGGGCAAAACATTTTCCGTCTTAGACAGGTGAAACCCTCGGAAGGGAGCGGATTTTTCTTTCCGTTTCCGCGTTGGACAGGTTTACGTTTTTTACAGGTAATTAAAGAGGAAAATATCAAGGGGGGAGCGGGGAGATTCCGTTAAGACAGGTTCCCGTTTTATACAGGTTTCCGTTAAGGCAGGTTCGACTGTATATATTATATGATTAGAGAGACACATAGAAAGAGACAGACAGACAAAACAGGTGCACTGACTGAGCCCAGGGTCCAAATTTTTCTCAGGAGAGAGAAAGAATTGTTTCTTTAACAAATTGTAATTATACTGAGTATTTTTTCTTGCTTTTTTAACATTAACAATTTGAATTTCGAAAAAATATTTCTTAAACATATGCGACCAATATCACAGATTACGAAACTGCATTTTTTTTCTCCAAAATTGTGGGCTAAGAAGAACATTTGAACGGCTGGCCCGTGAGATGTTCTATATTCTGTAATAATTTAGCAAGCTGACTCAATACTGTTTTATTGTATAATATTCCCATGTTGTTAGTAATCCCTGTGTCCTGTGGTTACAGATGGAACTGACGCGGGCCTGAAGCAAGGCAGAGCTGTGTTGTCTGAGGCTGCTCACAAAGAGGCGGAGAAAGGAGATCTGCAGGATTTGTTCTTCTTTGTAGCTGGAGAGGTAAGTCAGTGTTTTGGCATTCGGGTGTGTGGGGGGGGGGGGGAGGGGAGGGGGAAGCAGGGAAAGGAAATCTGCAGAATTTGTTCTTTTTTTTGCAGCTGGAGAGGTTAGTCTGATGCCTGGGGGAGGGGCCTGGGGGAGGGGGGGGGGTCATTCCACTGAACTTCTCCTATGCAGTGGCAAAGTAAGGAAAATTAGAAGTTCAGAAAGATTTCTATCTCTTTCTATAGATGTTTATGGATTGTGGAAGTGGCTGAATCCACATGCCAACTTCATATCGCCCATAACCATTCACTGTAGAAGTATAAGAGAAGAGGCTATGGGAGTGTGGGACTCATTCACTATACAATTTTCCTCTTTGCTCAGAGACTGTTTTCTATATAGGACTGTTTCAATGATGGGGTATATCTATCATTGCATCTATGGGCAGTTTTGAAAGTAAAGGTACTGACTAGAACTAGGCCATTCAGTCGTGCAGTGTGCTCAGTGCCTAACACCAGGATGTATTGAAAGAAGCCTACCATACAAATACTACAACTACGACATTTGTGAATTATATTATTGAATACCTTCAGTTGGTCTCAAATTTAATATAAAACTAAGAAAATTGTTAAATTTCCATTCTTGTGCTTTTCAGGACGAGTTTTCCGACAACGTTCGGGATTTTGCTGATCTGGACGACACATGCCCACTGCTTGTCATCCTGGACAGTCCAGAACAAAATGTCTACACATGCTCAGAGGTCAAGGTCACTACAAATATTGCGACAGAATTTGTGGACAAATTCCTGCGAGGGGAGCTCAACCCGACCCCTATCCCACCTCTGTGTGCCGACCCGAGTGGGACCCAAGCAGAAGCCGTGACTTCATGATGGCGAACGCTTTTTGCAGTTTTAAGGCATATTCAGATCAAAGACCCACATCTGTCTATCTGTGTAACGAATGGTAGCTGACTGAGGTCATCGTGTTTATACTTTATACCACACCACTTGGTTCGTTGGAGTGGTTTTTTGGCAGTGGGCTAATTGAGGTCACACGACTGATCTATTTTTGTAACTTTTTAGGAATCGACAAACTAAGGTCAAATTCTATTACATTTGATATGTTTTTGTATCAAAGTTTGACCAGGATTGTATGTAATATGATTTAAGATTTAACTATTTCGACAAAAATTGGGTTTGAAAAACTAGCCTGGCTGCACTCGCCCTGCTACATGGGGCTTGAAGGCAGAAATTTTATGGCCGCCATAAAGCAAACTACACGGATTACCATCAAGTCTCTCCAACGAGCGGATGTGAGACTTAGGTCTGAACATTAGCATAAGATGGAAGAAATAAATTGTGATGGTAAGACACTGACGGTCGTGGATCTTTGGTCTGAATTCGCAGTTACTGTTTGTACACTTCATTCTCAGTTGTAGATTATTTACAACTCTTTGAACTTTTCAAGGGAAAAATTCTGTTTGTCATGAGAACTACAATGTAGTTTAAACTTGCTGTAAACTATACTACATAAACTCAATGTTGAATTTTCCTTCCTATATGATGAGACTTGTGATTCTTTATTTAAAAATAATTTTTTTCTTAATTTTTTTTTTCATCCCCATCAGCGCAATTTAGATCATTTAGGAGACAGGCTTTGACCCTGCCTAATAGGGACAACCTGGGCTGAGAGGAGAGGACTACAAAAACCCAGTAGAAACACTGAGATACGTACTCGATAAAAACATTTTCACACTGAGGAATCAAACTCGGGTCTTTTGCATGCGATGGCAAAGCTCCCTTACTGCTACACCTCGGACACCAGTACTTGACAGAATAATGGTCTTTTGGTGCAGGGAAGAAGCAAGACAGATAGTTGGGATAGACAGAAATAACAGAGGAAGAAAAATGAAGTATGATCTACCAGAGGCACACTTCACCTGGTATTTGGGATTCTGAGTTGTTTTGTCTTTGAATTGCTTCCCCTGTAACGGTTAGGTAAGTCTACCAGAGGTCAAACATGGTTGTTCTAAAGGTTGTTTTTTTTTAAAATTATTATGAATATGAAATTTTTTATTTTATTTGATCTGTTTTTGAGCTTTTTATCTCTTCTTATTCTTATTCTTACTAGTGTTGTTACTGATATTCTTTTCTTTCACCAATTTCATTTTCAGTAAAAATATTGACCTCATAGCTGCCAACATTTCAAAACCAAATAACAAACTCTACACATGCAAAGGGTCAAGACCATGGGTCAAGATGATGGGTTAAGACGTTGGACGTTGGCCACGTTAACCCCCCCCTTCAAACCCTTCACCCACATCCTTTTCTGCATTTTATGAATTCAAGTAATTCAAAGTACACTTGCAGCAAAAGATCTCTCCTCCTATTAGCTAATGGACTTTCTTCTCATCATTATTCACAAATCCAGTCTTGAAAGTTCATAATCTTTTTTTCAACATCGGCATGTCAGGGAGGAGCAATATTAGATAGTAGAGAATACGCAGTACGCATTTACCTATATGAAAACGAACTTTCATAGTCAGACACCGAATAACGTATTTTATACACTTTTTACATGCTGGTTGGCAGCTATGCGACCTATTGGTTAGCAACATATAAATAAACAAATGGGAAAACCATATGAAATGTTAGTCTAAGTTTAAGTTTGCCTTACTTCCCGTATTCTGTTCATACTACAATACAGTGTACTATATCGCTACACAAAAATATCATTGAGGTTCTCACTTTGTACATGATGTATGTAAATATTCTCTACTTCCTTCCCCACCATTAACATTTCACAGGTGTACATTTTTTTCTTCACCTTTTCATGGTTGTTGATGATGATTTATTTCAAAGCTGGGAGAATGGTTTAGTTTGCTCTCAGTGAGCTTTACCGTCACCCAAGTAGTTTGTGGATATAATTGGTATCTGTGTCTCACAATGTGGATAGTCAATAAAATATTTAAAAATTTGATTCCCTTGACTTCAGTTTTCTTTCATGATCTACATTATTAAATGGCTTTGTTATTTATAAGTAAGTAAGTAAGTAAATAAGTAAGAAAGAAGCAATTCGTTTATTCAGTGTTTAAGGCCATTGATCCACATTACATCACATAAAACACTCATTTGTAAACCCTATCCGTACGTCATGTTTTACTATCGTATCCATACGACGAGGGGAACTCGGTGCCACCACTTTCAACAAAGAGGAAATTTCCTCATTAATCCGATTCGTACGCTTTGCGTAGCAGTCTGTCAAAATGATTTTTTGAGAAATACTGAAAGTTTCAAAGAGATCTTCGTACTAGAAGTATTCTAAAATGTGAAGAATACTACCGCGGGGGTACAAAATGACCCCAGGGCGTACGGATAGGGTTAAATAAAGTTTCCATAATAATGAAAAGGTACAGGATGTGCACATATCTCTTTATCATGATATATTGCATAATTCTGTCACTGGGCCAAGTCTTCATCATATTGTAATTCTTAATTCCATTTTGAAGCCTCTTTCCATAATAATAGTACTAATAGGTCAGTCCCTGACTGTTCAAATCGTCTCTTTGTACTGACATCATTACGTACAACCTCAGTGTACTAAACAGTAGTTTTAAGAATACAATATTATGGTACATGAAACGTCTACGAATCGAGATGCCTTTAAGAAACTTTGAACATTACAAAAAGAGACAAGGTGAGAAACGAGAAAAAGTAAAGTGGGTAAAAGAATAGTACAAGAGGTATTCAAACGGATACAATAACAATAACATCCCAATAAAAAGACTGGGATACCCGATAAAAATTCACCCCACCTGAGAATCGAACTCGGGTCTCCTGCGTACGATTATGTCTTATCTCATCTCATCTCATCTCGTCTCATCTCATCTCTTTTCATCTCATCTCATTTCATCTCATATTACCTTATCTTATCTCATCTTATCTTTTCTTATCTCATCTCATCTATTGATCTACTGTGAAACAAGTTTGTTCATCTGAAAAGCGAGACAAGATGTCTGTCACAGTGGTTCTTGTGATCCCCCGTCCTATAACCAGGCTCGGAGCTTGTAAAGACAAGCATTGGACTTGATGACATCAGCGGTGTCACAAGCAGACCCGGAGCTCCTTCTGCAGATAAACTCGCTTTGCCTTGAGCCGCCGGGCATGTTTCTCTTTTGCAGGTCTGTGGGCCTAAGCCTGAAACCTGGAGAAACTGCCTTGTTCGGGTCCTGTTTTGCCTGCCACTGCTTTAGCTTCTGCCCCACGGCCGGTAACGTGTAGAGGTACGGGTTAAGGGCAGAGTTGAGAGGCAGGATGAAGATCGTCGCCCCCACATTCGCTTTTCCTGGGATTGGAACCGCAGCCTGAGACAGGAGACCCATAACTCCTATCGGGAACCAGCACAGGAAGTCAGTTATCACAACAAAGGCTAATTTCTGCGCAATGGCTGTGTCCTGGTTTTTCCATTTGAAAAAAACAATTTTTTTTAAAAAGAACATTATTGTCTTGTTATTTCCCAAAAATGTGTCAGGCAGACACAGGGTTCAGGTATTGTTGCTGTGGTTTTTGTTCGAACTATATGCATCCCTGTTCTGTATTTATTTTGTGGGTTGTTGTTTTGTTTTTTTACTGTTGTTGTTGCTGTTGTTCTTCTTTTGTCATTAATAATGGTGACAACAACAACGACAACAAAAACAACAACAGAAGAAGAAAATGAAGAAGAACAAGAAGGAGGAGGAGAAGGAGGAGGAGGAGGAGGAGGAGGAGGAGGAGGAGGAGGAGGAGGAGGAGGAGGAGGAGGAGGAGGAGTTGTTGTTGTTTTTTTTAAAGATTATTCAGGAGGCGGGCTTCCGACTGAATTTGGCGAGGACAACCCGGGCTGAAAGGTGTACGAGGGGGAGATAGAGAACGAAAAAGAGAAAGAAAGAGAGGGGAGAAAGAGAAAGAGAGGGGAGAAAGAGAAAGGAGAGGGGAGAAAGAGAAAGAGAGAGAGCGAGAGAGAGAGAGAGAGAGAGAGAGAGAGAGAGAGAGAGAGAGAGAGAGAGAGAGAGAGAGAGAGAGAGAGAGAGAGAGAGAGAGAGAAAGTGTGTGTGGGGGGGGGGGGGCGAGAGAAAGATAGAGAGATGAATGAGTGTACACAAAGGGCATGTTTTAGAGAAGAATGAATAGATATATCTAGTGTGCGTGCTCATGCGTGTCCTGCATGCAGACGTGAGTAAATTTTCAAGCTTTGCGAGCTAAGATAAATAAACCAGATTTGATTGCGCTCGAAAACGCTGGAAATTTTCTCCCTTCTGCACAACATTCAGTGACAATAACAATAATAAGAAAGAAAAAAGAAAGTACGTGACAGCTTAGAAAAGGGTGATGAAAAGCAGAATAAACTATAGTAGAGACTTGACAGATTGTCGGGTTGTGAACTAAGCACAGACGAATAAGATCTTAAGTTTATTTACAAGCGCTTTATATACGCATGCACGAATTAATAAGAAAACAACATTCGTTTAACTGGGTTACTTTAGCAGGCTGGTGTCGAGTAACTAGGCCTTAGTCGCTACACTATGAATTTAATTTATACTCTAAACTCTTCTTCCACATAAGGCGTTACATGATCTCTTCTCAATTATATAATAACATAATTATACTTTCCGACCACATCGTTAGCCCCAACATTCCCTTCGCCAACCCCCCCCCCCCCTCTCTCTCTCTCTCTCTCTCTCTCTCTCTGTGTGTGTGTGTGTGTGTGTGTGTGTGTGTGTGTGTGTGTGTGTGTGTGTGTGTGTGTGTGTGTGTTTGTGTGTGTGTGTGAGAGAGAGAGAGAGCTCACGCGTATGCGTGTGTACGTGAGTTTAGTTACGTGTTTACAACTCTCTGTTTATTGCAAAACTCAGATATTATCGTCGATTTGCTTTTAAACACGCTGAGGATTCTATGATTATTATTATGTTCCTCTTTCCCATTCACCACAACTGGATAAAGCATGAGAGAAAATTAATAAGGAATTTTACAAAGAAATTAGATGCCTCTCCCTCGTATTACTCCGATCCTTTTTTCACTGTATCCTCTTTTTATTCAGAGATATCAATGGGAGAATTTGCAGTCAGATGTTCGGGTGCACCCATTTCTTTCTTGCTTTTAATCTGTTGAGTCTCCTCGTCGACCAGGACAAATAACGCCAATCATTTCCTATCCATGGGCAACTGAAACTAATATGAAAATATAATGCCACATAATATGACGTTGCATTGCATCGCCCGATCCGCTCTGCTTGCAGTGTGGGCACCCAATGTTAGCGCCCCAAACAGCTCCGCACTGCTGTGCCCGCTCTGCTCGCAATGTGGCCAGAGCCTAAGGTCATAATAATATGAGCGCGCGGGACACATTAAACATTTTCAGTTGGTAGAAAATTTTGAATTTTGCTCGGGTGGCGGCCGAAGCCTACTCTTATCGGGTTTAGACCCCCAAGGGATCTTTAACGTGCGCAACTTGCACACAGGCCCTCCAAAATTTTTCGCCCTTGTCCGAGAAGGCTAGGTGTAGATCTTTCCTACGAGAAGGTCAGGGGTGTGGCTGAAAGAAAACAGCCAAGGAGAAGGAGTAGAAAAGCTGCAGAAAGAGTCAAGAGACCAGAGGATGGGGCAAAGGAGGTGAGGGGGTGGAGGCAGAAAGTGGAAACGAAAGCAGAACATTGCATGCAAGAGAGCAGGAAAGGAGGTGTAAGGAGACAATTTTAGAGAAGAAAATATTTCGGTCGCTACCCGGATTCGAACCCGGGACCTTTGAATGAGAGGTGACCACCTTAACCTCTAGGCCACGAGAGCCCCCGTACGTGTGTGTAAGAGTGTATGTGATATATGTATTGTGTGTGTGTGGGG